TATATATATATATATATACTGTACATTTATAAGCAAGCGTAACTAACCCAAGCAATAGAAATACTGTTATAATACAGAACAAATGTTTATAAATTGTTGTTGCAAGCTGTTTTAGCACGTTTATAGGGAATATTAATCTTATGAGAATCGGTAGGTAAATAAATCCTTTTATGTGAATAAATATAAAATGTTAAGAACGACGAATAAGATAAGGCTACGTGTTTGTCTTAATTTCAGCCACTAGAGAGCGAAATATTCAACCCACACTAGCGGTTAAAAAATCGCTTCCGGGTTTTTAGTTTTGTTTTTCCTTCAAAACAAAAGCATCCGGAATACCACATTTGAACGTAACAGCCAGATTGCCTAGATTCATCCAGCACATTTATCTCAGATTGTGATTATTAAGCAGTGTGGATTATGTTTTAGCTTTTTGAAACTCTCTCAGTATTGTTGAATTATACTTTTTGATTAATCTTTATTAAAAGAGTTTTATTTTGAAGGTTCCCGGCGGCAGGGTTTATGCTTCCGTTTTCCTTTGCTGTGATTGGCTGTTCCCATGCTGCTGCTGATGTGTTGTTCTGAACTTAGCGAGTCTTTTCCAGGTGATTCATAGAGATTATTTAGGTGCTGTAGGAGCCTGAACAGATATAAAAACTATGCCTTACTACCAGACATGGGAGGAGTTCGCCCGGGCAGCAGAAAAGCTCTACCTGGCGGATCCAATGAAGGTGAAATGACTGAAAAGTTTCCTTTAATCTAACAGGACGGGTTAGCCTGCTGCTTAGCTAGCGACGTGTTCGAGCAGCTTGCTGACTATTTCCCTTAAAAAACGCTGAATGTATGTTTTGTTTTGTATTTGAAGGTCAGAGTGGTGCTGAAGTACAGACATTGTGACGGTAACCTCTGCATTAAAGTCACAGATAACGCCGTGGTGAGTAGAAACCAGAACCTAACCCAGAACAGACCAGCTGCCATCAGCCTCTGCTCTCACACTGGAGAAAACACCCAGAAATAAGTAAAAATGCCTTAAATTAAGTGTTTTTACCCTTAATGTGAGTAGATAAATGAGATAGTTTGCCAAAGGAATGAGTATTTTTACCCTTAAAATAAGATATTTTGATAAAATGCATTTGAAATAAGACAATGCAATTGTGTTTTCTTATTTTAAATGTAAATTGTCTTTTTCCATTGCCAAAGTGTTTCTTTTATCTCCTCAATCCAAGAACAAATTAACTTATTTTAAGAAGAAATGACTTATCTAGATTTAGATTTTTTTTCAGTGCAGGGACATTTCAGACCCAAACAGGCTGCATTTAAAGCAAGGCTAACAGGTATCATCTTTTTTTCAGAATATTTAGTATCATAAAGGTGATCTGTCTGACATTGAACCGTGTTACTCCTCTCGAGTTAATCAAGGATCAACGTCATTCTATTGGTTTTAACAGCCATTTATTGTGGTAACGCCCCCCCCAAAATGCTGAAAGAACAAAGAGGGGAAACAGAAACTCAAATTAGCTCAAACAAGTATAAAGGTTTATACCAGGGGTAACAATTAAAAATCAGCAGGGTTTGCATGAAGAAAATGATCAACCAGTAAAGATCTGGAAACATTTTTGATTAAACTCTGTTACTTTAAACAGAATTTAACACTGAAATAAAATGAGTTTTTTATCCATCCATGTTATATTTGGATTTAAAAAAAATTTAAATAAAAAAATATTTTGATTTTAAAATCTAAATTGTTTAAAGTAGAAAACAATCGTTCAGTTTGGTATATAGACAATTTCCTGATTCACATTTTTATAAAACACCTAAACTGACCGTTTTTTTGTCTTAATGTTGGCAGTGGGCTTTATGCTGCCCTGCAAGGCTTTAAACCTGGTTTGAATGGAGACTAAGCCATTCTCAAGGACATATCAAGGAGCTCATTTTGAGCCTGGATCCAGATTTATTGTTGATTCTGTTCATGGTGGAGAATCCTGCTTCACAGCAGCAG